TCAGCTGATTATAAATCTCAGCGAGAACTTGAATTTTTTATCATTTATTACTATTCTATGTATCATATTATCATTATAATTACTACTACTGTTGTTGTTGTTATCTAATATTTTGTCATTACCAATACTAATACTGTTATTATTATCTAACGGCTCATTATTAATGTTAATATTAATACTACTGCTTCGCGTTCGTGGTAAATACGTGACTTTAACTTCACTTTTACTTTAATTCTACGTTTCACAATCCGTTTTCCTTTCTTCCCAATATCACTATCACTTCAACCCTATATCAAATGCCTTGCTCAATTAATCTCATCGCTACCCTCGCCATATTATCCATCGTTATCTTCGCTGATTAAGTTTAACAAAATTTTGATTTTGATTTTTCACATGAAATAAAATAAAGTTGGCCAACTATATAACAATCTAATACACCATATCAAGCGTAATGGCTCAATAAACTGATTGATAGTTAATAATGATAATAAGTCTGATGATAAGAATATAAAAATAATAATCAGCTGCTTTAGATTCAAAATTTTATTAAAAAAATTTTAGAAAAGTAAAACTTTGCTACAAAATGATATTATTTATTAATTTTTTTTAAAAATGCGTGCAGCTTTTATCCATGTAGTGTATTTGGTTTGGATCAAATTAGCCAAGGACATATAAAATTTATCTTAGCAGATAATTTACCATTACAAACATTCAAAAGAAAACCTTGTACATTGACATATTAAAATGATTGTAAAAACATATTTCCAATGTTCCCATTCGTTGCATTATTATTTTCTAAAGAATACTTGAACAGTTGAAATGCAGCAGGAACAACTTGGGAATTCTGAATATGCTGAATATCAGTGAAGTTTCAAGCTGATCGTAATGGTTTTGATTCATCTTCATCTTTGTCTTCGTATTCCAAAACTTCACCTTCATGAAATTGATTATTATTTGGTTTATTGGATGATTCTAGATAGTAAATTACATTTTTTTTTTTAATGTAATAGGGTAGGTTTGTAAAATGTTACACGGATAATCTTTAAAAATATTAATATTAATATGAAAAATTTACCAAGTGAATGTTTACAAAACATTTTTTTCTATATAGATGAAGAAGATTTTGAAACATTACTTTCTGCATTGTTAGTAAATCACCAATGGTGTAATAATATAATTCCGATATTATGGAAAAGACCATTCACTTTGACAAATAATACCTTATCAGAATCGTCATTAGCAAAAATTATAAATATTTATTTAAAGCTTTTACCTGATGAATCGATTGATTTATTAAATTTAAAATCGATTATCAGTAGTCAAGAAAATAGCAAGCCAAAGTTTAATTATGTTGAACATCTTAGAGAATTTGACTTTAAAAAATTGTATGAAGGTGTTGGTGAATGGTGGGAAAATTTTTACAAAGACAGGATTGATTTGGATATTGAACTTATGAAATTATCTTTTAATGATAATAAGGTACAAGAAAATAATGATGACGTTGAATGGAATAGGCCTGTACAAATCAAATTGTGTGATATAGGCAAATATATCAGCAAAAATAATCACAAGCTACAGCAACAAGAAGTAGCAGATGAAAGTTATGGAGATTTTGTTTATGAAGAAAATTATGATGATGATGATCACGGAGAAAATTATGATGATGATGATGATGATTATGATGAAAATTATGATGATGAAAATTATGATGATGAAAATTACGATGATGAAAATTATGAAGATGAAAATTATGAAGATCAAGCAGAAGAACAAGTTGAGGTTGAGGTTGAAGAAAAGAAACATATTCCATTTGAAGATACTGAAGAAGCTCACAAAATGAAAATTATCCAAGAACTCATTAAAATATTTATTGCTGAAAGTAAAAGTTTAGATAAGATCAACATTGACACACGTAATTTATCAACAACTCTATCAATTCATTTTGATAAATATATAGATCTATCATCATCTTCATTATTATCAAATAGTAATAGCAGTAGTAGTCTAAGCAAGTTATCAGAATTGGTTTGCATAGGAGATTTTTATAAAGGAAAAATACTTAATAATTTATTAAATGTTTCAAAAAACATTAATAAAATTTGTGTAGCTGATTCATATAAAACATCAATTAAACAATTGATTTCATTAATTAAATCTCAACAAAAATTAGAAACATTATATTTTATAGGAGGATTTGTTGATATTTCAAATCTTTTATGGTCATTGGAATCTCAAGCAGGAAATCTTAAAGAGATTCAGTTAATAAATTGTTTTGTTAAAGACATTAAATCAATCAAAGGTATAACTTCATGTTCAGACAGTATAGAATTGATTAAATTTTATGAATGCAGTTTGAATTCAAGACACTACAAATACTTAATAGAAGCAGATTTCCCTAAATTAAGATCAATTGATATTACTGATTTTAAAAATTTATATGATAATGACTTTGATGCTATTTATGATGATGATGATGATTACTATTATGATGATGATATTATTAATAATAGCAATGGTAATGACTATAATTATTATAATTTACCAGTGGAAGAATTAAAAAAGCTCATAATCAAATGTAGTTCACAATTGGAAGAAATTAAATTAAATTTAGATTTATATTATTATGTCAACTTGATCAATATTATCTCAGAAAATTGTCCAAATTTAAAGTTATTTTCTGCAAATATTAAAACAGATGACACAGTTAATGATCTTTTTAATATATTGATGTCTTGTAGATTTTTGGAATCTATAATAATTTTTGGAACTTATAAAACAACTTTTTTGGATGTTAGTGATATTTTACCTCAAATGGGTTTATTATTGCCACCAACAATCAAATCTTTAGATATAACTAGATGGACATTTCCTAGTGAAAGTTTGGATTTATTTTTAAGAAACTGTGATATTAATATCAAGTTTCAATATTTATCATGGCATTGTTATCTTAATGCAAATAATCATATTCTTGTTATAGAAAAATATGCCAAAGAAAGAAATCTTTCTATCAAAGAGACTAAGGTTGATTATTATGAAGCTGGATATGGGTGGAATCGAAATGTTTGTCATGTTGTTGTAGAATTAAACGAGTAATAAATAAATAAATGTACACACACATATATATATTTGATTTTTTTTAATTGATAATGATTGCTTTAATGAATAATTTGCTTAATTTATATGTAATATATAAAATAGGCATACTGGTAACAAAACCAGACAAAGTGAACATTATTTTAGGGAATAACATCAAATGTAAGTGAAGGGGTTACAATGAAAATATTTCACTTTTTTATGCTTTTCAGCATTCTTTTATGCTTGTTTATTGAATTTATTAATTATTTAGATGACTTTGAGAATAAATTGATTCAAAAAAAATTCTTGGGGTTGAAATAGAAAGAAAATAAAACCTATCAAAACTTTGAACAAGAGAAGAAAATGTTAGAGGAACTTGTACAACTTACATTCACAACTGATAGTAAATCTAGACAATGATGCCTGCAAGTATTATTCAGCTTTACTTCTTCTTCATTAAGATTAAATTTTGCTTTCAATTTAGTTTTACAAGTGAAAGTCAAAATCCATCACCAATGTGGTTGGTTCCTAAAAATTTGCTTATTATTTGGATTTCACAAATGCACCAACAAGTCAGCATGAAGTAGATTATAAATCATTTTTTGAAGAAAATATTATTCCACAGCTTGAACAAAATCACATCAAAATCCTAATCAAAAATATTTATCAGGAGATTCACCTGATATTTCTACCTGGTGTAAAGGATATGGGCTCATTGAATATACAGTTGAAACATGCGATGATATCAAACCAAGAAAACCCCAAAATTTGTATTTCACCTTATTGTACATTATCATCATCATCATCAATAATGACAACAGATTCAAGGTTAATTTGTTAGTCTGTTAATAATTTCCTAGACCAAATTTCAAAAACTGAGTAAGAGCTAGGACTAATGTTTGCAAAATCAATTTATCAACATGGTTTACTTATTTCTTTGCCTGGATTAAAGCCAATACAAGATTTGTGGAGAAAAGCATGTCCAACTTTTAAACTGCCTGAAAGGAAAAGATTTTCAACTACATTGTTGAATAAAGTATATGAAGAAACAAGATTAGAAGTAAATAATATTATTATTTTAATATCTGATGGGTGATAAGTTTTTATTGTTTATTTATCCATCACCTGCAGAAGATGCATGGAATTGTTAGAAAAGATAATGAACAAGGTATTTTGTAAAATTACTTGAATATTTAAATAATTTTTAATCCTTATATTTGTTTGATAATGAAACTGATTTTAGAAAATAATGAAAATTTAATTTGTAACATGGTTCCATCACTTATTGCAGTCAGGGACATTTCCATATTGGGATTCGATTCCAGAATAGTCTGCTGATCAATTCATTATATGTTACAAACGAATTCACAAGATACTTCTTGTTATA